GCGAGGCCGGCTCGCCACAAAGCAGCAGGCGAATAAAGGAGCGGCACGCTGCAGCGTGGCGCTGCCCTCCGGCCCACGAGCTTTCAGGAAGGCTTCAGTTTTTACCCGCAGCTGCTGGATCTCCTCGAGCTGCAAATCCAGGAGCTGCTGTCACCTCCCTGCCGCTTTGGATGCACCGGGCCGGAGGAGGGCCCCGGTGCCCGGATGTCCATCAAACTGAGTGTAATCCAATACCCGACTGGCGAGTCCGGGCTCAGGAAACTGGGTCTCCGAGGATGAGGAGCTCAGTGACATTTTAGAGTGGCAAATTCACGGCAAGCAGGAAACGGGCAGGAAAGCGCCCAGCAAATGGAAGAGAAGATTTTGGCGGGGGGGTAGAGCGTGGGCAGCTGGGGTGAGGAGCTCATGGATAGGAGCCCTTTGGCACTGTAAACTTCACGATGGCTGCGCAGTCGAGGTATGGAGTTCAGTAACTTTTATCGGTGGCTGTCGATTTCGTCAACAATTCTTTCGTAGTCTTGTCGTACTAATGATGCCTTCGCTCCTTTTCAGGCACGGTTTTAGGTTGATTTTAACACCGTACTATAGGAAACAAATGTACCTGCATACACATCCTGGATAGATTTGTTTTGTGTATTTTGTTCAGTGCAGTGTCCCTTATCTCTTTTCAGCCTAAACTTTTTTTTTTTAAACTAGAAAAACAAGGTCTTAATAACTCCCTGTCAAATCTCTGCATGTCCAACAAGTTAATAGCTCTCTGAAAGTGATTTTCTTCTGCCTGGTGGACTTATCTTATTATTTCTTTTTCTCCTGTAGCCAGCCTAGTGTAAAGCAGGTTTTACGATTGCTCACAGCCTTACTTGAAGAGGTAAAGGGGCTGTATTTTGTTGCACTGGAAAACCAGCTGTATAAAATGGAAGCAGGTTGCGTCTGCCTGTGCGTGAATCTGCTGAATAGGTGAAGGCTAGGAATGGGCTGGGGGGGCTGTAGGGAAGAGCATGAAAAAGAATGATCTGTAGTAGTTGCTGTCATAGAGCAAAATTCAAGCAAATGTACCGACCTTGATTAAATACTGTTCAACTAGTTGTGTTTTTAAAGAATACAAGTACTCGCTTGAGGGTTGGGGTGGGGGGGGCGTCCTGTGTAAAGTAAATTTCACACTCGGCATGGGGGAGGTAGCTTTTCTGAAGTCATGGTGCTTCATGAAGCGCTGCTACTTAAGGTACCTATTAAATGCCTTTTAGTTTTTATGAAGTTTTAACGGGCATTTCAGAAATGCTGAAGAGAGAAACTTTTTGCTCTTAAGTCCCATAGCAAACAACCAAGCTGCTCCCCTCTCCTCCAGGAAGAAAAAATGGTGGTGTATCCTAAACAGAAGCTTGGCACTAGCAAAGTATTTTCACAGTGGTGCTTCTCTGCAGCTTTGAAGCCAAGAAATGGCTTTAAATTACAAACTGCAAAAGGACAGAACCCTGAGGTTTGGGGAGGAAGAGCTGGAAGACGGAGTGCTTTGTTAACAGCCGAACTACCCTCCAGTTAAAACTGCCTGCTCTCGCTGTGTGTGGGGAGAGGGGAGACTGGGAGTGCTTAACAAAGAGATGAAGGTTGAGTTTTCCAGCATCTTTTTTTTCTTTGCATGATCCTTTATTCACGTGATTTACTGGTCTGCATTATCAGTGCATTGCTTTAATATGCCAGCATGCTAAGAGAGGATACAGCGTAAATCTTAGTGCTGCTGACTGGCCTTGAAGCTTGGCTTAGATCCAAGGCCAGGGACATGCTTGAAGTCTCAGAGGTCACAGAGCCATTTTCTTGGGTGGCAGTAGATCGCATGGGAGCCGGGTCCGAGCAGTAGCCTCCAACCTCGACCAAACAAGGGTGCGGCTGGGGCAAGGCCAGTGAAGCACATCCGGTACGCCGGAAAGTGGACAAGAGATTACTGGTGCTGAGAACAAAGTTTTAGACATTCTGCGCTTGACACTGAAAGCTGGGAAAATGGGCTGAGGCTCAGGGCTGAGTACAGTGAGACCGGTAAAAGAGCTGTGCCCCTGACCTACCGTTTGAGATAGACATGGAAACAAAATTTGTACTCGCCTTTTCTGTGCTCTCCCTCTCCTCCATTATGTGCACTGGTGTTTGCCTTTGTCAGTTAGGATGCTGTGAGGCTCTTGGCTGTAAAGCTGTGTCAGAGCACTTCAGCATAGTGAGTTCGAAGGCAACCTTTATATGCTTGAAGATCAGTGTTAAAGTCTGATTGCCCATTTAAGAGGGAGTAGGAGTGAACATGAGCAGTAGAAATCAATCTCTTGCAGGGGACAGGCTACACTTACCAGAAAGCTCCGTGCTTCTTGTACTTCTCTTTTGGTGTCACAGGTCAGTAGGGGTATCTGCCTCAGTCCCAGAGATTTGTGCTCTGTGAGCACATAAAAACATGCTTTTATTCAACAACAAAAGATAAGTTCATATTCCTGATAAGGAGCTGGAGTTATACTGCATGGGAATGAGAGGCTGAGTGTCTCTTGCAGAATTAATTTGCTAAAATATATCAGAGCCTTTACTCTGTTAAGTGGCTGACACAAGACTTTTTTTTTTTCTTTAACAAAACAAAAGCAATTTGTGTCATGTCAGTGAATGACTGATGAGGTAGTATGATACAGAACACTGTAGGGTTTAGGGTATCGCTTGATATGAGGCCTTCTTCCATCTGCTTGGAAGATGCTATATTTCTCATATGCTGTATATATTTTTAGTATGTATAGCTAGTGAAAGGGATGTGACATAGGGGGAGGATGCTGGATAGGTAACTGAGGAAAATCCTGCATCTCAGTTTCAGCTCTAGGGCTGGCTAGTCCTGGGCAGCTCATTCAGCATTTGGGTTTCCGTGTTCTGAAGGGTGGAGAGGTTGGCAAAATAGGGTGATAAAACATGACTGTTACATTCTTTTTAAAATGCTGATGAGCAGTAAGAGTGATGACTGAGGAACTAATGTGTCACTGGATGCCATGGCAATTGTTAAAATCACAGAGTCACAGAATGGCCGAGGTTGGAAGGGACCTCTGGAGATGATCTAGTCCAATCCCCCTGCTCAAGCTGGGTCGTCTAGAGCGCGTTGCACAGGATCATGTCCAGGTGGGTTTTGAAATCTTCAGCGAAGGAGACTCTGCAACCTCTCTGGGCAGCCTGTTCTAGTGCTCTGTCATGCTCACAGTCAAGAAGTTTTTCCTCAGGTTCAGACGGAACCGCCCGTGGTTCAGTTTCTGCCCGTTGCCTCTTGTCCTGTTGCTGGGCACCACGGAGAAGAGGCTGGCCCCGTCCTCTCGACACCCTCCCTTCAGATATTTGTATACATTGATCAGATCCCCTCTCAGTCTTCTCCAGGGTGAAGATTCCCAGCTCTCAGCCTTCCTTCCTAGGAGAGATGCTCCAGTCCCCTCATCTTCTTCACAGCCCTCCAAAAATATTCTTAAAGAAACAATTGTGTGATAAAATGGGTATGTTTTTGGTTTTGCTGTTAGAGAATGATGGACTATTATAATCAGCTTCTATCTAGAACCATTATGTGGATAAACTGTCACTCAGTATGCGTTATTTTGTGTATAATCTAGACTTTTATGTTCTTTTTTAAGCTGCTAACTGAGCTGCAGGGTTGCAGCTGTAGCCTTCTCTAGGCGCGTTTCTGGAATGTGCGGATGATCTGATGCTTGCAGTGTCCCCAGGCAACAGGGCTCCTGTCAGCGTCGATGGTGTACTCAGGAACTTGTGAACAGAAGCAGAACTGATGGGAATGGGGGACCAGTTTACTTTTTTGTTAGATGAAGCATGATATTTGTCAGATGCAGCTCAGCTGTGAGGAGATGCGTGGAAAGCCACGCGGGAGATGAGTGCAATGGTCTGGGACCCTCTCTCACTAATGGCTGCAGCTAGTGCCCAGCCATCAGTGAGGCATGAGGCTGTTGCTCCTTAACTCAGTGGTGGAGCCTCTCTCTCTTTTCCTTGTGACTTCATTAAAAATGTGCTCTGCTTAGGCAGTCACGAGCAGAGGGTCTTTAAATGAATAGCTGCTTTTTGAAGATGCAGGCTGCTTCCTTCAGGCTGGTAGGGTTCTTCTTAAGTATCTGCAGATCCTGGTTTTTTTTTTTTGTTGTTTTTTTTTTTGATAGATAGATAATTTAGTACTTTGTTGTTATGGATGCTAAGAATTCCTGATTGTTGTACAACTCGCTTTCAGATGTGCTCACTATTAGCATGATTGCAGGTACGTTGAATGAAAACAGTTTCCTAATCTTCGTTAGTAGCTGATGCATTAGTACAGACAGAGTAACATGCAACCTGAGCGATCTGCTGTCTTCCCTGCCAGGCTTGCCTCACTGTTTAGCGAGTCAGCCCGGCAGGGGTTGTTAGTGTTGGACACCAGTCTGGGAATCCCTCTATTTCTGTTCCCTGAAGCCGAATCAAACCAGGTACACCCAGAAGAATTTGGAAATGGGGTTGTATCCATCATTTGAGTATGACAAGAGGGTGACACTGTGCACAAATGAAATGTGGCCAGAGTGCTCTTTCCTGTCTAAAGCAAGGTAAATGGAACAAAACAGTCTCTTCTGAAGAGACTGAGGATGGGGCTGTTTCCCTGAGGGAAAGCTGCCCTGAGTGAATGGTGCTGCTTGGTTTTGTTCCACCTTGTTTCATAGCTTTCAAGGCCAGATCTAAAGTTTCATAACTTGTTTGTTTTGTTGGTCCTGTTGATACAGGCGAATCCAAGTATTGTTGGGGCTGCATTCCAGTCGACTGATGAAGGGAAAGAAGGGCTGAAACAATGTCTTGTTGGCGTTTACCTGCTGAAAGCTCAAACATCCTCTGAACCCATGTCAGGTTTTCCAGTAAGCTGCTTCTAAGCCTGCCCTGTACAAATAATACTCAGAACGTTGTTTTGGAGGCTACTGGGGAGTTTCAGTTCACAGTTCCTTGCTTGCCTGGATTTTCTGAGCCCCGAGTCTGTTGCTCCTGGGCAGCCCTTAAGGCGAACTGGCCCAGAACTGAAGCCCCCCCCCCGAGAACAGATATTAACAGAGCATGTGGAATTTTTAAGGGTTTTTTGGTTGGATTTGGGGGGGGGGGGAGCAGAGTTGGAGGGGGAGAGGTGGTGAAGGTGTTTTATAGTTCCACGTTTTAGTAAGACCAAGCAACTTGAAAGCCTAGAAATGCTACTGTTGTGATGTACCTGACTTGGTACAGAAGGGAACGTTTCCTCAGATCACGTAATTTTCCTGAATCTGAATCCATGTTGTACAGAGAGGCATCCCCTCACCGCTTTTTAGGAGAAAAACATTTGCTACTTCAAATGCAAGATGCAGCATGAAGAGCAGGAAACAAGCTTTTAATGAACTGCATAAATTGTCCTCAGCATTTTCTTTCTGTGCATAATCATAGCACGAGCCTTTTTAATACCTTTAAAATATA